ACACACCCTTTTCTATGATAATTGACCACAGTCAATTAACATTAAAAAATCAATTGTTTTACTTTCTGGCTACTCAACAGCCTCAGTATTTAGCATTATACAAGGCCGTATTAGACAATGAAAAGCGAAGCTAAGTGATCCAGCTTTAAAATCAATTTGCAATTATATATGGGGGAGTTAAAGTGATATTTATTTGCTTTCCACATGAGAAATGAGAGGTTCCCAGAAACTGTCAGTTCTAAATTGCAATAGGTCAAGAAAAATGCATAATAAATAATGAGCCAATGTGCTGAGCAAGAAAGCATAAACTTAATTTTTTATTAGATCACATGCTGTGTAACAGTGCCACAGGTCTGTTTCCCTCAAACACTGATACACAAGTTAACTTTACACATGTAAAATGGTTTCACTGAATTTTCACATGAATACCCTTATTTACATGCATCTGTGTTGACCTTTCTGTAGCGGGTGAAATTAAGTCTTAGCATTATATTTTACTTAAACAAGTTACTTAGTTTCACAATACACAAAAAGTAAGACTAGATGCTCCAGTCGTTCCTTTTGTATTTAAAACTTTTGACCTTGTAGATGGTTTGATGATTTGAAATTGGTCATTTCATTTCATAATTTTTTTCAGTGCACATGCTGAATTGATAATGGTAACAATTTATTTCACAAAGACTTTTTCTTAAATTCTTCAAAAAGTAAAACTTCAAATTAAGAAAAAAAAAAAAACAACCAACCAAACAGTATGTAATAATGGTGACAACAACACTGACATGAAAAATTATAATAATTCTGTGTTACAAAACCCACAAATTATATATAATATATTTCATGGTTGCATCTGTATCTGAAATGTCTGGAGATATCTTAGAATAGCTAGGTGGGCTTACTGAATTTAAGGGAAGAATGTAATAACTTGAAATACATGAACTGTATACTTAAACAGGATTATTTTCTTCTCTTAATCTTCAGTTTATTTTCCTTGCAAAATATCGGTATCAAAATTCCAAAGGTCAGCTACTGTCATGATTTTCTGATTTTATCTTCTATAGCCCAATAAAAAAAAAAACCAACCTTACCATTACTTTTAAATCATTCTACAAATATTTTCTTAAATTTAGCAAGAGGGAAGAAAGCAAAATCTCCTAATAAATTCAAGTTAATATGTTCTCTGCTAGCAGAGTGAAAGAAAACCTCCCAGGAGTACAAAATTAAGTAGTACATAAGTGTAGGAGAGATAAGGTATCACTTTAAAGGAGAGCTGGAAATTGATTTCTGATTAAAACAAAACATTAAAACCCACAAAGGTCCTTTTCAGATCAGCAGAGTAATTTCTAAAAGTAACATTTTTCCTTCCTCCAAACACACATTTTTACTATAAGAAAGGAATGAAAAGGGAAAAGCGAATATAAAAAAAAAAAAAGAAATCATTTACATACAAAATTGATACATGGATGATATATATATCATTAAATGTGTGTAAAAATAATAGCTGGACTCAATTCTAGAGAGTTTCATTTCAGCTGCCATCTGTCATGAATTAACAATACTGGTTACATGTGAGTACTGTCCTCATCTTTCTGTATCTATCTTTCTCTATCCAATTTTGTTCCTAGGCCAACACTTGGACTAAAAATCCTTAGGGGATGTGATGTCCCCATAATAAAACAGTGAACACTGATTTCAAATAAACTGTTGCATGAAACTACAGTTTTTCAAGAATAATTTCTAATGAGGTTACTAAATCTGGGGTGATGCAGGGCTTTACCAAAAGAGTGGAAAATACTATGTATTGTCACAATGCAGAAGAGGAGCAAAAGAGGTTTAACCCAGCAGGCAGATGAACGCCATGCAGCCACTCGCTCACTCCCCGCGCCACCCCCCTCAGTGGGATGAGGGAGAGAATTGGAAAAAAAAAAAAGAAACCCGTGGGCTGACAAAAAAACAGTTTAATAAAACAACAGAGGAAAAGAATAACAATAATAATAATGGTAATAGAATATACAGAATATACAAAACAAGTGATGCACGATGCAATTGCTCACCACCCACTGACCGATGCTCAGCCTGTCCCGAGCAGCGATTGCTCTCCCCCACAGCTAACTCTCCCCTGACCATGACGTTAGGTGGTCTGGAATATCCCTTTGGCCAGTTGGGATCCGCTGTCCTGGCTGTCCCCCCTCCCAGTTTCTTGTACCCCTGCATTATTCCAGCCTAATATTGTACTTTTATTTAATATCATAGCTGAATTGCATACTACATTAATGTGGTAGAGTTCCTCTTCATCATAGTTCCACTTAAGTATTTCATAAGCTGCCACATGGAAACTGATTAACTCAGCTGGCAAAAATAGGCATTATTACAAGAAAAAAAGGGTCTGATAAGTCAAGAGCTTGTGGTAGAAAGGTGCTCATGGAGTTCCTCAAGAAATTGTATCAGAGCTCATCCTATTTTGTATACCCTTCAGTGGCCTTGGCAAAACCCCAGCACTCTGCAACATGTGCAGATGACACAAAGTTGGGAAGCATTGCTAATGCAAATGAAGACTGGCAATATTATGCGGAAAGAATCAAAGGGTTACAAAGACCAGAATTATAAACAGTCAGAGGAAATGGCTATAAATAAATATAGATTGTGGATTAAAAATAAATAAATCTGAAACAACAGACTCAATGAGGTTCTGGTCTGCAGCAGCAACCTTGCTAAAGAAGTTGAATGAAGTATCCGACGAGGCCCTTACAGCAGATTTGGACCAGGTTATGAACGGAATAACTGCTACATGAGGTAGTTGCTGGTGATAGCAAGGAGTGAGACCATTTGACCAGCATGACTCCTTCCAGTCTCATGTCTCCAGGATAGTCACGCTCATGCCAGCAGCAAGCACTTGAGTGTCCCATTGAGGTCGACTGCTTTCAGCAGCCCTGGGGGTTTTACTGGAGTCTCTCACGTGCTTGATGCTGCACACATGCTTCAGCACTTCTCTATCAGTACTGTCTCTGGTACGAGAAACCCCAAAGTGTTTTATTAGTGGTACACGCAGCACCAGCAGGTTGTGCCCATATCTGGAGTGAAGGACATCAGCTGATCCGCATGTCTCGTAACACTCACTCACTGAATTTGAGTCCTGTGAAGAAAGGCATTGCTTCCTTCCTATTTCAAAGGAATAAGAGGTGGCAGAAGTGCTTAGAGGAAAATAAACTGATTTTAAACAGCTCCTTGATGGAGTAAGAGAAAGCGTGCTTTTTTCCCTTGTTTTATTCTATGTACTAGATATTTATTATATTGACGCTTGAGGGAAGGCATGCAATAAAATTATAGCTTCCTTGGCATCAAAATGTCTCACTGAGGCTTTGTGAATCATGAAGACCATAACTCAGATTCTTAAGCTCATTGGTATGAGTGAATTCCCTATATGACAGTCCCAACTGCTGCTTCCAAAGAACAAAGACAGACCGAGCTGTGTTGTGGTTCAGCCCCAGTAGGCAACCAAGCACCACCTTCCCCCCGGCAGGATGGGGGAGAGAATTGGAAGAGCAAAAGTAAGAAAACTCATGGGTTGAGATAAGAATAGTTTAATAATTGAAATATAATAAAATAAAAATAATAATATACTGCAATGAAAAGGAAAAGAACAAGGAGACAGAGAAACAAAACCCAGGAGAAACAAGTGATGCAACTCCTCACCACTCACCACCCAATGACCAATGCCCAACCAGTCCCCAAGCAGTGATCGCTGCCCCCCAGCCAACTCCCCCCAGTTTATATACTGAGCACGGCGTCATATGACGTGGAGTAGCCCTTTGGCCAGTTGGGGTCAGCTGTCCTGGATGTGCCCCCTCCCAGCTTCTTGTGCCCCTGGCAGAGCATGGAAAGCTGAAAAGTCCTTGAGCAGTGTGAGCCCTGCTTAGCAACAACTAAAACATCAGTGAGTTATCAAAATTATTCTCATCCTAAATCCAAACCACAGCACTATGCCAGCTACTAGGAAGAAGATTAACTCTATCTCAGCCAAAACCAGGACAAGCTGTAAACCCATTGTCACACTGGCATATGCAATATACTACCCCTGAGAAACTGTCCTGAACGAGAAAGTGCTCCCCTGAGTGGGAAAAAACAAGAAAGGATTCATGACTTAGTCCAACGTGACCATAAAGCAGGTACATTAAAGAGGGCAACATGATCCAAAAACACCACAGTAAACCAGGAGACAGTCTAATCCCAGTTTTGCTATTGCCCTACTATATGTGACAGTCAGGTTTCAATTTTCCCACCAGTAAAATGACAATAATGTGACTTGCTTTTTTTTTTTTGCTTTTTTTTTTTCTGAAGAACTTAGTAATTCATAGCTGAAAAATGAAAAGCAAAGAAAAGCAGTAAGATCAAGGAGCAATGAGAAAAGATGCAACAGTGATCCAATAAGACTGTCACACTGCTGCAGAAGACAATATCATATCACAACCCAATACCATAAAAGTGGGGGAAAGAATATCATGGGTTTTTAGTATTATTTTGCTGAAAATGAAGGGTATTTTAATGAATGAGAAAACGGGCTGATTATAGCATAACATGCATGTACACCAGTTGCTCTCTAAATACCTCACATCTGTTGCATTCATGAGTCCGTATGGGAAGTCCACAACTTGAGGAACTGGACAGATTGTTCTCATATACAAATCTTAAGAGGAAGGTTACCCTAAGCACTTCTTGTAACTGGCTCCCACTGTACTTACTGTACTCAGGAATTCAATATTTTGAAGTCATCAGCAAAGGAAGTTAATACATCTCAGTGCCTTATCTGAATTTCTCCCTGTATTTGAAACCTAACCAGACTGTCTTTAGATTTATTTTTTTTTGACCCAGCTTTATTTTCAACACTTTTATCTCAGAAATACTTAGAGATCCCTAAAAGCCAGGAGTATATTCTTAAATCTCTTTTATATCTGCCACAGACCTTCCTTCTCCCAACAGATATTCCAATGTCCAACACACTAATTTCCATACTTGAAATATACATCCAGGGAGACATTTGACAGGAATTTCCAACTCCAATTATTTCATAGTAGCAGAAAATTGGATCTCTGAAAGATATAATTTGATGTGGCGAGTGGGGGGAAGAGGGGAGATGAGGATTGATTTACAGTACTGTGGGAAGTGCCAGTGGCATTCTTTATTGTCACAGTGCTGTCAAACTGAGTAAAATGCACTGCAAGTCAAAGGGAAATAACAGTTGTGTATTTAGACGACACATTCACAGACTTTTGGTAGCTTAAATTTGGCAGGTGGCAGTTAGAGTGAAACCTCGTGTTAGAGCCAAATGGGCTTTTTATATTGCATCTGTCCGAGACAGAGCGAGATCTCTACATGCCACAGTTCTCCTAAACTGTGATCCACTCTCCAACACAACTTAAGAAGTAGCCGATGCCTTTCAGCACTTAGGGATTTTCTGAAAAACGCATTTTCATATGTATGTTATGAGCATATGTGAAAACTTCAAGCAAATGGACCAGATGCTGATTTCATTTACACTGAATTAAATCTGGAAAGGCTTCAGTGCTTTTACACTTCATTTTCCACAGTGCAACCACAGCAGACTTCTGACTACTGTCTGTTTCTCCTAAAAGGAAACTTTTTAGGGTAAATGTCATTGCTCTGGACACATTTAGTACCTCAGGCTGAAGGCAAATCCTACCTCTGAAACAGTCAAAGTCCAATATGAGCAAATGTTTTCAGAGAGCAGGATACTAGCAGTTCTCTATACCTAAACATATGGGTAAAATATAAAAATGACAGCGGATGTTTATGGAAACATAATTTATGGCAACAATGCAAAAGGAAATAACAGAGACGCTCTCTTCCACCTAGGATTGCTGTCATTCTGGTTACATGCTACTTTCTTCACGTCTTGCCCCTGTCTGTTGTTTTGTGTCTGTAAACACCGTTTAAAAGCTTCCGCCTTGTCTACACAGGTGCCTAAATTTATGTCTATCAGACTCTTTTATGGACTCCAAAAGGTTTTCTGAGGTTCAAAACAAGAGTTACATAGCTCAACGATAAGAGTCCTCCAAGGGCTAGCAAGCACAAAGTTACCACCTCTGCCTCTGGAAGTCCCCAACCTGAAGCATTGCTATCACTGCTTCTTACACTGTTCCTTCAGTACCCACTGTTGACCATGGTTGAGGACAGGACTTTATGGATACCCAATAGAACCAGTCTCGTTGTACTGTAAATTATAGATAAGATGGTTTCTATTTCTATTAATTTGGGGAGGAAGTGAGATACTCTAAAAAAGGTGGAAATGAGTATCCTATGAACTGCAACACCCAGAAAATTTCCCTTTGTTTCAAAAGCAGGGCCATTAGCATGCATTTATGCCTGGGAACTAATTCCCCATGTGAGGAGGGTCAAACCCTGCCCCTGTCAAATCTCAGTCTCACCTCACTTCTTTTCTCAGAACTTTTTCTATTCACAGAGACTGAGAACAAACCAACGTGATCCCCCAAGGACTCATGATCATCCTCCTCCAGTTCCACTGGGTTTTTTCTAGACTTTCCTAGTCCTCATGCCCCCACTTCCAGAACTTTAGATATCTCTAGTGGTTTCCATGTGACTCTTTGGCCTTTGCTGATTTCTCCTGACAAGGCTTTTTTCTTCTGACAGGTCAAGAGAATTTCATCCTCAGACAGTCTACAGCTTTCGTTAACAGGCAGAAAGCTAAATCCCTTTGACATATAGGAGAAGCGACACATATTTGGTTAGGAAGGAACAATCTTGGCATTACTGTGTTTCAAGGTTGCAACAAACATCTCAGACTGTGTGTGTATTCCTGAGGCTCTTGTCTGATGGCAAGAACCAAAGCCTCCCTTCAGTGTTGGCTGAATTCTGACTGGGTTCATTCCTGATTGAGACAATGCTTATATGGACTGACAGCAGTTTTCCCAGTGCAATGAAGGTAAAATCTGGCTTCTATATCTTGAGGGTCCTGTTTTACATAAATATGCATATGTATTTGTATATATGATCCCCTTCCTGCAGAGACAGGTGGGACACGCTGCAAATATTGTCCAGTGACAATACTGCTGACATGTAACTCCACTGGGACTGTTGGTAAGCACTGGAGTTACAGAAAGGTGCAGAATTTCTTTGCAGCTATTTCATAAGCATTTTCCCAGCTAAAATATATATATATATTACTGTGAAATACAGATAAAAACCAGTATGAGAGAGCATTAAAGGATAAGTCACAAGACAGCTGCACCTGGTAATGCCAAAAAAATAGCAGCAACAAACTAAAGATGCTCCAAGCAACAATAATTTGTGACCCTGTGCCAATACACACCGGGGCAGAAGAAAACAACTTGTTCCAAAGCTGCTATTGGGGATCTGACATGTTTATCTATTTGGCCCACATGTGGCTGTGTCTTCTAGCACTGACAGCTCCTGCAGGTTGGCAGCTTTTCAAAAGCTTGTCAGCCCTTGATAGCATTCCTATTCCTGCAGAGATGGGCGGGTCGCACTGCGGATTACACAGCGATAATGGTGCTGACATATAACCCCGCTTGCACTGCTAGCGAGCACAGGACTTACAGAAAGGTGCACAGTTTCTTTGCAGCTATTTCATAAGTGTTTACCCAGCTGACAACATTTTGTATTTGGTATTTATTTAGTTTAAGGAGTAAAATAACAAAGGCCTTAGGCAAACTCACAAAGTAATCTTTCCAGCAGAATCACAGAGCTTAGGATTCCTATAGATTTTGTTCTCCAGCTTTCCAACCTCTCATGCTATTAAACATGTATGTTTGTTTTACACTGCACTTCTACTGGTTATGGCATAGCTGTCTTCAGATTTATTGTCCACATTTGCAAAGCCCTGATAAATGTAGGCTGCTGCTCTTTTCTGCTTTCTTTTGCTGAACATCTTTATTTTACTCATAAGAAGGAACCGCAAATCCTCCAGTTTATAAATAGCTTGCAACACTTGTCAAGGCATCTGAGGATCTTTCAAGAACAGACTATGACACTTGATAATGTTACTCCTGCAACAGGAGATGGAGGCTTCTATTCAGGACAAGTTCACAGAAATTATATCCCTGCTACAGAAAGATGATTATCGTTTGGTAAGCTTTAGACTTTTGTAAAGTGCAACCATTTTAGCTTTCTGCATTTATCTTTCATTCTGGAGGACTTTTCTATTATCCCATGATACTTACTGTTGTTTTATAATAAGGTTTGCAAGCACTGGCAACTGGATGGAATTTTTCAAGCTGTCAGCTAAGGAAGTTTTCAACCAATTACACAATAAATTGAATAAAAACTACAATGATTTAAGAAACTGGAAGTCCAGAAGAACTATTGATTTTCTTCATCAGGAAAAATATACCAGGAAATAAAGCCATAACTTAATATATGTAAGTTAAATTAACTAATTTAGGTAAATAATTCAGTTGCAAAAAGGAAGTTATTAAGAGACATATATGTATACATTAAATAAGGGAAAAGGGTACAATGCTTTGGATTTTTCTTTGAATACTATTCCAGAAACATTTGAATATAGAGCATCAGACTCTACAATATAATCTTGCCAAGTAATTATATCCACAGATGAGGATTTTCTGAGAGTAAATTGTTGGGGATCCTGATCTGGCTTTTTGGTGTATCAGTAGTTCCTAACATAACAAATATCGGAAGTCGAGAGCTTTTTTGAAGTAATCTGAATCTACTTTTGTTTTAAAGAAAGAAAACCTCAAGATATGCCAGTTCCTAACATAACAAATATCGGAAGTTGAGAGCTTTTTTGAAGTAATCTGAATCTACCCTGCACCGAGCATTCTAAGGTTCATGCTCAATTTTGTTTTAAAGAAAGAAAACCTCAAGATATGCAGTCTTGCATTCTAGTTTCAAAGCTCTTACACCTCTCTTACTCCCCTCAACTTGCTGTCTTTCAACCCTCCTCCCTCAAAGTCTATTAATAAATATATCATTTATAGGCAGAAATTTAATATTCTAATCAACTACTTCTCATTTTAGTGGTTGCATATAAGCAGATTTTTATTTTTTTTTTTCAGAAGACTTTTATTCCTGAGGAGTACAAAGGACACACTTCAGACCCTTGTAGTCCCGACATGTGTGGTTTCCTCGCACCGGGAAAGCCTGGAAGCGAGCCGCCTGGCCCGGCGCCAATCCAAACCACGGTCAGTCTAAACACAGCGCCGGCAAACGCTACTTTCTGACACTTCGCTGCTACTGGAGAGTATCCTTTAGCATTGAAACCTCATCAGTGACAGAGATTTATACACAACCTCTCATGCAGCTTCCTTCATCTCATCTCTTCCCTCCCCAAACATGTTTCTATCAGCCCCACACAGAGGAACCAAAGAGAAATGCTTGTGTGATATCATCTCATGTTACCTGGGCATTTACCTAAGAGGATAAGTCTATAAAGTTGCTGAATGCCCACGGAGATCTTGGAAATCGGCACACCAGGATGAAGAACTTTTCCATCAGTTTTAGCTATTTAAATATACTTTTCCTTGCTGTTTTGTCTGCAAAGTTAAAGATTACCTGAATGGTTAAACTAAGAAGTATTTGGACCAGCGGGCGATCATTTCTTCAGTCTAGATATGCAAGTGGTTATGAATTTTATTCCCTTCTTTCAGGTTACCACAGATACATAGCCTTACATTCTCTATTCAACTCACCAAATGCAAGTTTTCAGTCCAATATAAAGTGAGTCTTTGCTCTACAATATCTCTATTAAAGGGCACTGTCTGATTGCACACTAATTCTCCTAGCACAGTCTGTGTTCTGCTTTCCTTGGAAAGCACAACATCCATAACGATCAGTGGTGGTTTGGCTAAAGGGAAAATGTTACCAGCTTGGATGGAGGGAAGGATCACACAGGGTGCTACCGCCTCCAGAAAGCTCTGAACTACTCAAGCCCCACTGAACATAATGGGAGGCGACAGCGCTCAGCATCTCTCAGGAGGTAAGCAGCATCCCACAAAACCAGAAATCTGCTTTTCACACAAACAAAATTTGTTTTCTACGGAAAGCCTATGCCAGAAACCAACCTGTAGTCTGAAAACCTGCAACATGAATAATGATGTTACTAATGCAATATCCTGAGGAGGTGCTAGGGTTTGAGTAAACCACTGAGATGGCAGAGGCAAGTTAAGTGTTTGATAAAGCATCCCAGGGAAGAAGTTTCCTGAAATGCTCAGAATCTGAATTTTAAAGAAACTGTCATACAGAGCACTGAAGAAGTCGAAATAAGATATTCGGCCTGGTAATGTATCTCTTCCATACAACGACAGCAAGTGTTGCGCTCAAACATGTGGAGCTAAATAGTCTCCCGTTACACCTGCTAAGCCCCTGCGCTGCAGTTGTATTAATTCAGGGTCAGTTACCTCTTCCGAGCTGACAGCAGAACACAGTAATTTAAAACCTCCTTCTGGTGCTTAAAGAAAATATCAAACACAGCTGAGAATTTAAATTTTCTTCAGTCAGTAGCATATCTAGAACAAACAGGAAAGCAGTTTTCACGTGTGTTCCTGTGCAAGCATCTGGTTTTCACATGTAGCAGTCAATTGTGCTTGCAAGTTCATCGTGTCTGCTAGAAATAGTGAAGACTAAATTGCCAGCTTATTATCTGGAGTTAACATATTGTCACAGGATGTGGGCAAGGGAGTATAGTTGGTCCCAGTGAAAGCTCCTCCTATCACCAGTAATTCTAGATACCAATACAAATGTTAATATTCAAAAATTGCCACTAACACTCTTACGAGAATTTAAACCATCCAAATTGCCTCTGCCCTGTTTAATATCACAATAAAGTAATCCCAGTTATGCCGGGAGGCAAGGAAAGAGCTGTCTTCAGTTATCTCGACAGGACTAGGGGCAATGGGTGCAAACTGAAACATAAGAGGTTTCAGCTGAATATGAGGAAAAACTTCTTTACTCTAAGGGTGACAGAGCACTGGAACAGGCTGCCCAGGGAGGTTGTGGAGTCTCCTTCTCTGGAGATATTCAAAGCCCACCTGGACAAAGTCCTGTGTAGAATGCTCTAGGAGAGCCTGCTTTAGCAGGGGGGTTGGACTAGATGATCTCCCGAGGTCCCTTCCAACCCTTGCGATTCTGTGATTCTGTGATTCTGTGATTCTGTGAAATGCTTTTATTTGACGACAGTGACCTTGACCAAAGAAATTAAGAAGCAAACACTCTGAGCTGCATTTTTGCCTATTTGCTGATATTTTGAGCAGCCCATGCACTGCAGGGCTCCTCCAGGTACCCAACCTCTTGCAGAACACCAGTCTCACAGGAGATATATAGCATGATAAATTCAATTGATTAAAGACAATCCATATAACTATGGGTGGTGAGATTATCAAATCCTGGTACACCGCATTGCACAATGAATCTGCCAGTTACCCACTGAAGGGGGCGGGGGGGAGGGGGGAAAGGAAGAAAATTGAACTTATGAAACGAACTCTATAGAAAATAAACTGACCTTTTTTACATTTTTGTTTAAATCAACCAAGTTGAGCAGGAAGATGTGGTCTTTAGCCCCGATTAGCAGCCGGCCCCTCTCCTCATCTAGCAGCAGGGTTCGAAAATCAAGCCCCTCTGTTGAGCCCAGGAATGGGATGCAGCTGTTTGAAAGCAGCAAGTCTGTGGGAAAATGAAGAAAATCTTTGTAATCAAAATGTTTACATATGACTCATTGGTGTCTTTTATAAATATATGCAACCAGCATGGAGTATGCTGGTGAGATAACTGCCATTTTAGAGCATGTCTTTCCAGGGTCACAGTACAGTTCCTGTTAGCCTTCATTTTCTTTAGGTTTTTTTACTTCCAAATTGGGTAATATTTACTTTCACAAAACATTTTCCTGTATGAAAATTTTTTAATCAATTATCTCTATGACATAAAGGAATCAGAAATTTGACAGAAATCAGAAACAAATAAAGACAGATCTTTGCAAAATATGTGCTACCACTTTCCTTCATTGTAATAAAAACTAACGTACGTTTATATCTTCATACTCATGGATACTCATGATCAAAGATCAATATCTCACCATATTTGGTGCTCTACATATAAAGCAGCAAAGAAGGTCAATGACAGCAAAGAATATATAGGAGCAGGAAACAGTGGTTAGATGTGGCAGGTATCATAGACTTATAGAAGGGTTTGCATTGGGAGGGACATCTGAAGATCATCCAGTCCCCCTGCTATAGTCAGGGATGCCTTTCACTAGATCAGGTTACTCAAAGCCCTGTCCAGCTTGACCTTGAACACTTCCAGGGATGGGGCATGCATAGCTTCACTGGGCAACCTGTTGCAGTGTCTCACCATCCTCATCATAAAATCCATCTTCCTTATGTCCAATTTCAGGCTACCCTCTTTCAGTTTAAAACCATCACCTCTTGTCCTGTCACTATAGGCCCTGGTAAAAAGTCTTTCTCCATCTTTCTTACTGAAAGGCTACAATAAGATCTCCCCAGATCCTTCTCTTCTCCAGGCTGGACAACCCCAACTCTCTCAACTTTTCTTCATAGGAGAGGTGTTTCATCTCTCTGATCATTTTTGTGGTCCTCCTCTAGACCATCTCCAACAGGTCCTTGTCTTTCTTGTACTGCGAACCCCAGAACTGGATGTAGTACTGCAGGTAGGGTCTCAAGAGAACAGAGTAGAGGGATAGAATCACCTGCCTGAACCTGCTGGTCATGCTTCTTTTGGTCCAGCCCAGGATATGACTGGCTTTCTGGGTTGCAAATGGACATTGCTAGCTCACATCCAATTTTTCCCCAAGTCCTTCTCTGCAGGGCAGCTTTCAATCTGTTCATGAACCAGTCTGTGTTGATACTGAGGATTGCCCTTACCCAGGTGCAGATCTTGCACTTGGCCTTGTTGAATTTCACATTGTTCACATGGTCTGCCTCCTCCTCCAACCTGTCAGGGGACTTTCAAAGACCATTTAGTCCTTCCCTCAACTGTACTACTCAGCTTGGTGTCATCCACAAACTTGGTAAGAACGAACTCAATCCCACTATGTCATTGATTAAGACATTAAATAGCATTTGTCCCAGTATGGGCTCTTGAGGGACACCACTTGTTACTGATTTCCACTTGGATGTTGAGCCGTATACATAGTTGAGAAGAACTGGAAGGAGGTAACAGTCATAAGGTGTACAGAAAATTTGATACAAGGTTCAATTTGTCCATTGTCTACTATTAAGTTCTGGCTGCAGTATAGAGAATCGCTGCAATTAAATTTTCAATTACTATCATTTCAATTGAGAATTGACCTCTGAATCAACAGTCATCAGGCAGAAGTATATCCCTAGGGCCTAGTACTGAAATGAAGGCAATACAGAGGCATATTAGGGGGAGCATCCAGTAGCAACATCTCTAACATCTTAAGAGAGGTGGCAATGGATGGCTGTTCCTGCATCCTTGCCCTGTCTGCAGAGGAAGTTTTCCCTATTAAAAGCACAAATTTGACACTTTTAAGTTTTACTGTGATTTAATAGTGGTTTCCAATCTCTTTCAAAAGGTAATTAAGAAAAACATGTTTCTCTATGAAACTAATGAAAGAATCTATGCTTCTGTAAAAGAGCTAAAAGGCTGTAAAGTAAAAAGCCTGTAACCTTTTGCTTAATGAATACTCTGTGGACGTAATTCTGGATGAGGACACAAACAACGTATAGAAAAGAGCACAACGAGAGTTTAGTCTTGTTGGGTAGTCATTAATTTGGGGAGAATGAAAATAAACATGTGAATCAGTTCTTCCACAAGCAAACTCTCCAAGCTAAACTATTCAGAAATCTCTGGACAGACAGGCAAATCCTGCATTTAACTGAACATAAAATTAAGGGTATTTCCACCATCCTGGCACTGGATAGGCAAAGTAGCCTTCCCGCCAGAGAGGTCAGACTTACAGCACAAGTTATTTACACTTCCTGATCATGGTGAAAATCAGGGCCAGTGTTCTGCAGAGTAACTCCTGAATGAAATAAAGATGGAAAAAACAAAACGAAACCAAACTTTTTTCACCAAGGTCTCTCACAAAACATGTAACAGGCAGAGCAAAGACTAAGTCCTGTTGTTGGCTAATAAACAGCACTGTGGGAGAAAAAAATATTTTATCATTATTAATCTAACTACCTGGTATATAATTATGGCAATTATTTTTTGGCTCAGTCTCTTCTACTTAAGCTCATGTGGTTTTGTCTGGCTCACTGCTGAATGTTGTTACGATGCAGTCTGAAAACAAATTGTCTTGTATTGCAGCTTCTATTCCCCTAGGTGAGATTTATTTGGCAGTACTATGAAAAAAATCTTACTTCACACTAAAAAATTAAATCCCACATTAGGAACTACACTGCTTTACACCAGCACTGTCTTTTCTCGCATATCTTTTGTGAAGACAAAGATGTCAGGGTTGGGATTTTTTTTCTCTAAATTAGTAACACTTTAAAAGATCTGCTTATTAATTGACAGCAAGATCACTAAGGAGCAACTTCTTGTTAACATGGTACTATAAATACCTAAGTCCCATCCAAACTACTTCTTACCCTAGAGCTGGCTGATGAATAGTCTGGCTGAAGAATAGCCAAGCCTGTATAATAAATAAATACAAATTTTGAAAAGGAAAAAGATAAACCCTCTGCACACAGAACTTCTGACGTTTAGCTCACTCCACCAGTGTGTTTTCACCTAATGAGAAATAAAGATGTACTCCTCCTGACACTTGTTGTTACGGAGTTCTCTGTTACAGGACAGCCTCTTCTAGTGAAATGCTATTAATTTTTGTGCGTAACATAGATGTGTCTTCATTAGACGTCATACTCTGTACAAACCTCCTCCCTTGTTTGTTCTGACTGGAAATTCTTGGTACTGGATACGATGGAGCTGTTTATTGGGAAAGGGTTCTGCCATGCTAATCACAGCACAGCAGGAAGTTTTAGCTCCCTTGGGCTATTCAAATTCTTCTTGGATCTCTAAAATAGTGTTTATCAGCTGAGCATTGCTGGAGCACATCATCTCTGAGCAATCATCTTTCTCTTCTCCACCCATGACATAAGAGCTGGCTGCATTACTAAATTATCTGATCCATTCTATATAATAATAAATGCCTTATAAATTCTGCAGTCTAGATTAAATCGCTATTTAACTGTTCTGTCTCAATTAGTATATAGGATGGAGGGAAAAAGAGGAATACAGGATCACAATATCTAGTAATTAGTCATTCACAGGCATTAACGGGAATAAACAAGAGATGTTAACGACTTTCACAGGCTACTGTATTTCAGCAATCCATATCACCCTCTGTTACTTTAAATCTCTTCTGATGACAAGCTTCCAGCCATATCACAGCGCTCGCCTGTGGGACATGAGTAACTAAGATGCAGAATATGAAGGAAAATTCCTTCTCCTCTCCAGCCATAGGAATTTGATCTGAGTGAGGATAAATGATACATTCATGCAAATGCTCTAAAGTATTTTCATTGCTTAAAGTCATGCAATCCATGGGCCTTTGCAAGCGTGTCCCTTGCCAAACTACGTAGACCTGATTCTCCACATACCTGAAAGGAGATGTCAGAGACTGTTCTCCACTTCCCATTCCTTTCTTGTTTGGAAGGAATGATTTCTGTAGTGACCATCCCAAAGGGACATTTGTCATTTACTGGTTAACACTTCTAGTATTTCTCAGTAAAGAGCCACCTAGGACAGCTAAAATGGGGAGGAAAAAAGCTGTCTCAAGGCTGAAACGCCCAAGTGGGAATGAGCCTTGTACAGTCATTTGTTTCACTGCATCATAAGGAAAACATGTGTAAAATGTTCCAGATTGAAATGACAGCATTGCGCACTGATGTCTTACTGATGCAAATGGTGACAAAAGCTGCAAAGTGGTGAAGAATCAGGTTTGGCCAGTTATTTACTTACT